TTTTCGTTTGAAATTTCAACCTTGTTACTATATTACCTTCAAGTGACTCAAGTGACGGAGTTTAGTTTGTAAGCGCAAGTATTGACTTCTGTTTAGTTTCAAATAAAAATGGTTACTTATATTTTTCTTAAGACTTTTTTGCACTATTTCAGAAGAGCGGTAATTCACTTGACAATGATGGTCTAAGGTCTGAAGGATTTTGAGTAATTTCTGCACTATTAGAACCCTGTACGTAAACCAAGCAAAACTGGATTATGATTCTTAAATGTGTTTGTAAATTTTGAAGGATCACTCTCGCAACTGACAGCTGGTGAGTTAAAAATTTTTATTGTAAATATCTCGTTATTTAATATGTTCTAAGATATATTTTAATTTTATAACAGTCATTTTATGCCACTTTCCAATCTCTTCTAGTTTCAGTTTACAACTCCTTGCCAGAATGAGGTTTTAGAATCGCGTTAAATGCAAATCATAAGTAGAGTAGTATTTAAGTCAAGTTTCACTGACTTTGCCAGAGAGAGAGAACTAGGCTTCCTGAATAGCGCGCTTTTGCCTTTTGGGCTACGTCTCTCTAAAGTATTACTACGCTTGGTCGTTATTAGTACGTGGCTTTTGACAACTTCGCTGCCTAAGCTAGTATCACGAGCAACTAGTATAGATTTGTATTAGCTTCTAAATTTCTTTAGTTAGTCATTAGTTAGTTCTTATTTCTTACACTTTGAGTTTAAGCCCAAGTACAGGCTTTGCTCTATGCCCTACTTTATGCATATATATATAGCGTCCTTATTCGGCTTTTATTATCGCAATTGTTGGTCATAATCATTTACGACCAATTATAGAAATGTTTTAAATAACGAAAATATTCATGTTTTGGAATGTCAGATTTTAAAAAATATAATTTTCGACTAATAACAAAATCTACTACGTATATAATAATAGTTTATGTTTGGAGTTCGTCTAATAATAAATATCTAACAATGTTTAAAAACAGTTTATTGCTGTAAATATCTAACAATATTTAATATCAGTTTATTGTTGTTCCGAAAAGAATATTTAATAGGCCTCAATAGGAAGTTATGCTGTGCCCACATCCGATTTTGTATTTTTACTTTATTTTTTGTTCTCGTTATTTTTTTCAGTTTGTAAACCTGCTATAATGGTACAAACATTTGACTGATGGGAAAATTAATATAAATTCATATTTGGAGAAGAAAATTTGCCTGTAAAACTTTAATAATATTATTTTCTAAAATAATCAAAGGGATATGGTTTCAGAAAAGCTTTATACTCCTATATAAAAATTATTACCATATTTTCAATCTTTTTAATTCCACAAGAATAAGTTTTAAAAAGTAGTTTTGAAGCACTAAAACCTAGGTTAAATGCTTTCATTCAGTATAAATTGTGAAATCGCAAATATTTCCTGTAAGTCAGTAGCACTGAAATTGTGACTTATACATATATTACCATGAGGAGATGCTGATACAGCTTCCTTTGTTTAACCTAAAGGTGAAAGAAAGATGGGAGTGTATTCAATATTAATTTTAAAAGAAAAAATGCCTGGGTGATAAACGGGACTATGACTGGAAGCTTAAATGAGTTCAATGTGTGTTTTAAGGTTAAAGAAGATATTAAATGATGCCTAGTAGTAAAACAAGTAAAGACGTTTTACCTTAAAAATGAGAAAAATAGGTGAAAAAAATTTTGAATTTCTCATTGACTGTAGTTTCTTTAATTAGTCCAAAGCCTGCTCCTACGGTGAGAGACTCGTACAGAATTTAAAGTACTCGGTTGAAAGTTTAGGATAGGGTTGAAGTAGGATTTTCTAGAATTTCTTTTAAGAATATAATAGAAACGAACTCGTTAATGAGACTCTTATGCATGAAAATTTTGGAAGGATCTAAAACTTCAAAAAGAAATGGATATTTAAATCCAGCAATAATTTTGATCTCCGAAAAATGCACTTGCGTATGAGTAATTATAGATAGGAAAGGTACACGTTACTTATCGGGCGCAAGTTCAAGGTTTACGCAATGTTTTTAAAAAGTACTCCAAACTATCGATATATCAATAAGTTGTCAAATATTATCGATATATATAAAGTAAATATACGATAAAAACTTAAATTATACATTTTAATTATCAAATAATGATTACTTAACACATTACAATAAAAAAAAACATATTGTTCTAATCTTTCGTAATTTTGTTGCGCTATTGTTCTCTTCAAGTATAAAAAAGTCAATTATTTTTGCTTTATCACAGAATTGGAAAGACTTGGCATTGCCCAAAGCTTGACATCAGCGGCTATCTCCTAGCACATCGCCTTGTTCCCTTTAGAAACTGTTCCTGAAAATTCTGTATTTCTGCAGAAATTTTATAGCAGTTTCTTCCGTCTCTGGGAAATTCCCCAAGCCCATATTTTAAAATTAAGCGTAAGATAAAAAATATCAACACTTTTAACAAAAAACATTGGACCTTGGAATAAAGAAACTGCATCTAACAAAAAGAAAGCATACGAAAATGGCAACCTTGCTTGACTGAAAGATTATTATGAGCATGGTTGCCTGAATGATGTTTATACGCATAGTTGCCAAAACCTGAAATATTCTAAAAATCTGGAGACCTTCTACTTAGATAATATTCTATACTTTAAAGAACTGCGAGTTTGTTGCATAGAGGCAAACCTGCATTCATAAGAAATGTCCCATAAATAAAAGTCCAGCATTGCATCTTTTACAAATGATAATTTGATTTTAGTGATGGATTTTAAGGAAAGCAGAAAACACACTTTTTGAAATATTCTTAAAAAGAAGGGCAGAATTTTGAGATGAATGGCAGAATAATGAGAATAACTAATATATTCTTACTTTCAAGACTTAAATTCGGAAATGATGAAGGTCTGAATATCACCTATTTCAAATAGGTGATAAGGGAGGTGGTAGAAGGAAAACGACACATACCAGCAATACCTATCAGAAGATTAATTCCATATTTCGAAACTGACATATGCAATGCAATCAAGAAGACATTTTAAAATTGATTTGCTTCCCTTTTACTAATAGTGTTGCACTTCTTGAAAATTTTTAGTAAACCGCACAAAAGTATTTATCTCAAATATTAAACTTTATTTCAAAAAGGGAACTTTATTTCAAACTTTGAAACTTTATTTCAAAACTTTATTTCAAAAGCATTTGAAATAAAACTGTCAATGTGTCAATCTCAAATTAGCAGCAACAATGATTTTTGTTTTCGGTAAATAAATATAATCAGAAAAGAGAGAGTTTTGAAAAATGTCTGCCCTCCCCATATGTGCTGAACTATTTCATTGTGGAAACTGTTTCAGCAAAGTGCAACACTTATTTTAAACCCAAATAGTTGATTTTAAACCCATTAAGCTTATTCCTGTTGATTGAATTTTGGCACACATTTCGACAATTTTAGAAAGTATTAGTATTAGTATTATTCCGTTATGGCAAAGCACACGAGAGCTATCTGTCTAAAGGGAGGGATGCCTTCGTGAAGGACTTTCTATGGGAAACTGGCTCGTATATACGTTACACTTCGAGAAAACCACGAAAACGCCCATGCAGCCAGCCCGTTCGCGGGTTTCGAACACAATTTTAGAAAGACACACGGTTGATGTATTGCCCTTGGTCTTGGCACATTTTACATAAACGGTCATTATGTTCCGAATTAAATTTATAATTTTCTTGTCAAGCAGTCTCACGAAACTTAATCTGTAAATAACAGTAACCGGATATAAAAAATTTAAACCTTCTCTTTTTTTTTTTTCTAAATAGCCTATTGTTTTTCCAGAAACTGAGATCTCATATGCTGATTCTCAGAAAAGAATAACGGATCCTATTCTTTTTTCAAAGGCAAGAGATAATTATCATTCATCTGGATTTTCCAGATAATGCACGAGCTTATCATTTCTCATGAACATTCAGACTTTTAATTTGACACAATCGTGTCGATGAGCAAGTACATAAAAATGCCCTCGCATACTAGCCTTCGTCTTTGATAATTTTAAAAGGTTGTAATAAACAAACAAAGATACATTAGTTTTGATATAAATTCATGGATTTATTATAATTTATTATAAATTTAAATAAAATTTTCTTACTTAGATTTTATAAAATAAAATTATTTTATTTATCTGTATATTATTTAAATATAATTATTATATTTATCAATATATATTACCAAGTTAAATAATCTTTCTCCAGAGCAGGTGTTATTAATAAATAATATGAGACAAAATTTGATATCTTCATTTTCCATTTATCTTATATTTTAACTCTTGTATTTTTTAGTATAACTCTTCAATTATTTCTAAAGATAAGCAACAAAATATGCTTTTCAGAATAAGCTTCTTCAGTACTTAAATGTTATTTAAAACCCCAGATTAAGCAATTACTGTAGCTCATTTATGTAAATAATAGCGATGATTATTCCTACACATATTACACCTAAGGAAAAATTCGTGTAGCAAATGTATATTGATTTCTGTATTTCTGAATTAACATAAATCCATTAACAAGGTTTCTTTTTCGAAAGTTGAATTTTTGGGTCAGCATCAGTTTCACTTACAGATTACTATATATTATAACGCATTTTAAGACACCAATATATGCTAGAAGATTATAGCTTACACCTATGTATGCTATAATATTATAGCAATATTTAGTAAGTCGAAAATTTTTGTATAATTTATTATTAAATGTTTAATTTGTAAAATAGTCAAACTGTAACATTCATAAGACTGCATTCAGTACTGTAATATACCAAAATTAAATTTTCGGTTTTTTACAGTACATCTGAAGATACTAGAGTAATGTATATTTAAAAGAAAAATTTTTCAAATCTGAAAACAAGTCATAAAGGTTTTATACATCGTTGGTTACACATTTTACGGTACTTTGTTAGGTTATGCTTTCTAAGTCACATAAAATATAGCTCAAAATATGATAAATAAAGATATATATAAACCTAACCTTTCTTTTTGATGCAGCAAGTCTTTGATCTCTGACGTCTTCTGCTTCTCCTGGTGGCTTGTTACCCCAAACAACAATAGCTATCCTGGTATATGTGTAGAGAAGCACCGTCATGGGGAAAAAGTACTGTAATATCATCAGTGCCATACTGTAATAGTACCTTTGTTCTGGACTTTCCCAAGATTCAGTGCAGACATAGCGTGTTGTCTCATTCTCTCCACTCCATGCCGGGTGAACAGCTAGCTCAGACAGAATTGCAGTTGGAAGTGGGGTGATAAGGGCTACTATCCACACAAGGACGATAATGAGTTTGGCTTGTAGTTTTGTCATTCTGGGTCTCAGTGGGTACAGAATGGCGATGTACCTGTCTATGCTGATGGCGATCAAAGTGTATGCACTAATGAAGACAGACACAACTTGTGCGTAAGATACTAGAACGCACATAACTGCACCAAATGGCCAATACTGGAGAAGAAGATTAGACACGAATCCAAACGGTATGCAAAGACAAGCCATTAGAATATCTCCAACTGCCAAGTTTATGATAAAGAAGTTAGTTACTGTTCTCATTCTTTGGTAGGCGAGAACGATGTAGACAACCATGCCATTTCCGCCAATAGCAGCTACTGACACAGTGATGTACATTATGTGCATAACAGCTTCCATAACTTTTGGAACCTTCATTGCAGCATCGGGACTAAATGACAGGGATAAGTTTGAAATATTCATCTCAAGTTCAGAAGTTAAGTTTATCGGCAACATTGTAATTGCAAGAATATATACAATATTAAACCCTAAAACACTTAAGTGAAATATAATTTTGAACTTTAATTATGTGAAATGTAAAATTAATTTGTTAAAAAGGTTTATTTTTAATAAATTTGTGCATATCTATCCATACATTTAGAACTTTTAATTACATAGCCGAAAGATCAATATATTTCATAAACTATTGCTTCCTGCAAAATTCTTGCAAATTGCTTCCTGCAAGATTTGTTAATAAAATATATTCTGTTTTTAAAGAGAAGCAAAGTTCATATTGATTTATAAATATATTTTTATTCTACACATAGCAGAATAAAAAAAATATAAGCTTCTACATTAGATAAATAGTGGAATTTTAAATAAATGCTGAATTTACTTTATTTAATTCCGAAGGAAAAAACTGGAATTTTTTATACCAATTCAACAATAGCGTATTTACTTTCTTTCAAACTTTTTATTGTAGATTTCTTTTCATTCTGGGTCTTTTGAACAATCGTTCGATGTATTATGAGAAATAAGTAAACGTGCAAGCTAAAATGTTCGATAATTTTACTGTAAATTTACATTGTTTCACTCAATTGTTTCGCAATAGAACTTACTGATGTGCTGTTTCTCACTTGTTCTGAAACAAATAAAAATTCTTCCTTGATTTATCGTTTGATTTACATTGTACACATAATTAAAATTCGTAAATTTACATAACAATACAACTTGCTTTTTAATTCCCAATGTAAATTTGTTAGGGAATTGAATTTTAAAGAATGGACCTAGTAATTTAATTTTTTACGTAAATTTATCTATTTTCCTTTTTACTTCTAACTAAAGCTTAATTAACGACTATAAACAAGTTTAAATGAAAATGTCCTTCAGTAATAAGCTATGATATTCTTCTTTTACCTTTAAATAAAAATCCTCTGCGATTTACATTCATCTGTTTTTCAATGCATAATTGTTTCTCACGAATTTTACAACTATTGAGAAATTCCTTCTAGTAAATGTCAGTTTAATTGAAATAAAATGTCAACTTATCTCCCGTTCTTAACTGCAGTATTTCACATAACAGAAACAAAAATTTCCTAAGGTCATTTGCAATCAACTAAGAAAGAAATTATCTGTAATGAGATATTAAGCTTTTTTCTCCACTTTTCTGCAATCGTACTGGCATCACAACATTATTTGTCTTTAGGGCTATTACAAAAAGGAAAAGTTATTTCTTGATTCTTTGATGATATGCTGGATGACAATTTTTCTGGTCTCTTCAGCAGAAATTTATCTACCTGAAAGAAAAATGACGTAGAGTTAATTGCTGATGAGTTTTATTGCTTTATAAGCTGTGTTAAAATTTAATTAGAATTACATGATTAAAATATTATTCACTTTCAGAATTGGTTCCCTGTGAAAACTCAGAGAGATTACTTTATATATTTTCATTTCCTTTGGAACTCAAATAAATCATATTTATAAATTTATGTGAGTATGAATAACTGAGATGAAGATTTGTTTAGGTAAAAGGCAAAACATTACATACATAATTCTGCATTTTAACACGAGCATAAAGTATAAAAATCTCCTGAACAAGTGAACTGCAATATATTGCAATGAAAGCTATTCACAGATATTTAGTATATTTCAGGGAAAAAAGAAAGCATTGATTCTTAATTAGTATTTATAGAATGTTATTAAAAGTTATTTTAAAGACAATATTACTGAAATCATTTATTAAAGATGCTAAAGTAAACATATTTGAATTGAATAGTTTGAAAAAATATAATTGTAATATTAAACATTGATATTTTGTTTCGTTTCGGTGGTTTATTGCTTAATGAAAATTATTGGTTTAATAAAATTTTGTAAATAACTGACTACAGACTCAAAAATTAAAATTAAAATCTTGTATAACTAGATATGGGTGATTTATATATATATATATATATGGGGTGATCATAATCACACCTGGCCGACTTAGAGTGCTCTGTGGGTGTAATTAAAATGCAAATTGATTCAAAAAGCTGTAGAGAGACGATTCAAAAAATAAGCTGAAAGATTTTTAAAAAATCACTGAGAACAGCATTTTAGACAAAATGCTCGTAAAGACTAATAAATAACTGTGGGTTATTTTAACACCTTCGAGATTGAGTCAGAATTATTGTTTCAATTACGATAAATATTACGTTACCAGGACATGAGTTAATCGTAAAACTGTTTTGCAAAAACAAGATAAATAGTGTAGTAGTTCTTTGTGACCTTCGAAGTCTAAAGAAGTTGCTCCAGGGACCATTGTTTCCATAAGGTATGACAGACGTGATATTTGGATTCGGAAAAACAGGATCATTACGCGTTGAAAGTTGCAGAAGACAAAAATCTTTTAGTGCAAAAATCGGTAGAAACGGCAGTTGTCATGCAGTCACTGACAAATGAGCATGACGTCAGTAGCACATGTGCAGTGTCACGACAGTTAGGCATATTGTGTGTTAGGCAACAGTGTGAAAGGCCGCTGAGAACAAAAGTGCACTTTTTCCGTTTGAGATTAGCCGCAACCAGCATCTGGTTGTTGCCGACACTGAATGTCGCTTACATGTTGCACTGACTTTTTTACCCGAATGGAAGTCAATGACTCCTGACCATGGGATATCCTGCGCAATAAAAAGTTTACCTTTCAATCTCAATGGAACCGTTAACACCAAGAACTGTCATATTTTGGCCGTCGAAATAGGAAGTGCCTTACAAACAATTCCACTACTCTTGCCTAAAATTACCGTCTGGTGTGGGCTCTTCCCAATTTATCTTTGGCCCATTCTTATTCGAAGATAATTACGATAATAGCACTGTAACATTCTCTGTTTCAGATATCGTGATGGTTTCGTCTTACTTTAAATTCAGTAGCAACAACGCCTTACGTCTAGCACTTTTGTGCAGGATGGTGCTCCTCCACATAATCCACTCTGTGTACACAGGGTTTAGAGGCAACATTTTACCGATGACAAGGAGATTAGACACTCGCTTTCCACTCCTTGACTGGCCCATTCTCTCGTCCCGTGTGATTGTTGGTTATGAGACCCTTTAATGAACGTGGTTTATTAGGGGAATCTTGCAACTGTTGCTGACCATATAAAGTTGCATGTGCGAAAGATCACTGGCAATTAGCTGCGATCAGCTGTTGAACACTTAGTTTACTGCCTCTATCTTAATGGCGGACCCAAAGTGAACAATATGCTTTACATTGCTAAACAATCTGTAACAAATAAACGATATTAATATCGGAACTTGTAGCTTGTTTGTAGTTGGACATAACGCGCCTTCTAGCATGAATTGTTTGAACTAATTTTATTTTCTGAATCTTTCATCGCAACTTTTGAATTATCAAGCTATACATTTTGTAATCAATCCTCATTTTAGTTACAATTACAGACCCTTGTAAATAAATCAAGTGTAATTGTGATCACCCTGCATATCAGGCAAAAAGTCTCTTAACTGGGTCAATAAGAACACGGTCTGGTAAAAAATTACAAATATTCAGAGTTTATCCCAACTCCATCATTAACAGTATAGTTTTTTCAACTTAGAATACCTCTTACAAATTAAAAAAAAATAACATTGGTATATTCATTGCGTAAGGATCTTAAGTTTTACTAACGTTTATTTTTATTTTAAATCTTTACTATGACTTCTTATTTTCTACTTCCGGCCAGAATTAAAAGCTATAACTTATTTATGCAAATTTGTCTGGCGAACGCCAAGTACTTAAGTTGTGGCTTTTTGCCAAGCAAGAAGGAAGGAGATAGTCTAAGCAGGCCGCTTGCCTTAGCAGTTTTACTCGGTTGCTGGTTGCCTCCCAGGCCAGAGGTTTAATCCTCTTAATAATTTTAAACGTATTGTAGTGTTAACAGTTCTCTGTACTACATACGGCTTCCTGTTAATTATACCAATCTTCACGTAGGCCCGTTTATTTTGTTTATTATTAAAGTTAAGTTAGAGTTTAGTTAATATTTTTATATTCTTACGTTCAGACCACAAGTGGTTGGTCTCTGTATTCCGAAGTACGGAAAAATCATTGTAAAGAGTGAAAAATAAAGGGTTTCGTATACCCTTCCTGTGTATCTTGTCTACTTCCCACATTTATTGAACATAGCTTTAGTAAGCTCCCTGTTCCGAGTCAGGTTCTTGAATGTTCCCAAGCAAGTAAGGAGGAACACTGAACCTGATAGTGGCGCCCGACGAAGAAGAATAACCATGGCCGAGTTTCAAGAAGAACCTGTGCTGCCTGCAGAAGCGGCTCAGAATCCAGAAATGCCAGCTGCCGCCCTGGAAGGATTTGGTTACATCGTCCAGACCATGCGCGCTTCGATGAAACCAGAAGCAACATTTAATGGAAACTCACCGGTAACCAGTTTTTTGGAAAAATTGGAGGACCACTTCATGATGTATCCCGTGCACGAGTTCCAGAAAGTCACCTTAGCTACCAGCGCTTTGAGGGGCCAAGCGCTTAATTGGTTCAAATGTATAGGCAGAAGTCTCTTGGGTCAAGCAGGAAGTCCCACCTATACTTACGAAAATTTCAAGACTGCCTTAGTAAAAGCCTTCCCTGTCGTAAGGGATCGTGCGAAATTAGAAACGGAACTTTTCAGCATATACCAGAAACCAATTGAAAATCTCTCAAGCTTTATTTTAAGAAAAATTCACGTCTTCAAACTCTTGTATGGAAACCGTCCGGATCCTGAGATAATTCAAGTGATTTTGCCGAGGTTACTTCCCCAAGTACAAGACTTTATTGAATTAAGGAATCCGACTACACTGGAAAAGTTATTTGAGCTAGCAATCCAGTTTGAAAGTAGAAGAACGGCGGACATTGAAAGAAGACGCCAATATCAACAACGAAACCAATTTGGTGCGCCAAGACCACAGCAAAGTCAAGCACACGGCTACGGAAGCAAAGCGAATCAGTGGGCAAGGAAACCCGAGCATCCAAAAACAGCCGGC